ACATCTGACTCATGGAAGCAGTTGTATTAACGCGGAGACAGACAGCTCTGCACATGTGGTTTTTCAGCAAGCAGGTTTTGAATGCACAGTATATTACTGTTGCCATGGATATCTGTGATGCCAATCAGAATAATCTTTCACAGCTGTGAGACTTGAAAACCATGACTTGACAACTGAAGAAGTCTGGTGGCCTTAGTATTGTTCTGACTGTCTACATGGAGAAAAAAAAAGGAAGAAAGAAAATTCACCACCAAAATGGAAACTGCTACTGGCAGTCTAACCACAAGCCAAGAGCAGAATAATTAAAGTAGGCATTAGTTATAATCAGGGATCTGGGCTCTCCGTTTGCCATGAAAAAACATGGATTTCTTCCTTTAAAGAAGAAAAATGTAATTTCCTCCCTTAAAGGAGGCAAATGCTGGAAATGGTGGGTTTCCCCTTATAGGCTGGCAGCTTTAGCCTGCAAGGGACTGCTTGGGGCTGGGGGGAGTGGGATGCAGGTGGTGCCATGTGAACATATGTGCGTGTGCACATGCACGTTACCAGCAATACAGCCAGTTTGCACGCATGTGTGGATCTGTGCATGCGCAGATGTGGATGCAGGCTGCTCACTGCAGGGTTCCCCACCCTGCTGCCTTCCCTCTGGGGGTGTCTGCAGGCCAGCAGACAGGAGGGAGAACTAGGTCAGGGAAGCTCAGTGCCCCGCACCATGACCAGGCACCCCCTGCTTGCCTGGCAGCAGCAGGGGGGCACAACTTGGCAGGGGAGGCTCGGTGCTGCTGCCACCACCAGCACCAGGAACCCTGTTCCAGCCACACCACCATGACATAGCACCCCTAGCCCACCTGGTCCCCACTGGTGGCAGGCAAATGGGGACACCTCGCCATGGTGGCACAGTTGGCACAGGGCTCCCAGCACCAGTGGCAGCGGTACCAAACCTCCCTGCACTCCCGTGCCTGGTCCCGCCTGCTTGCCTGTGGAGGCCCCCAGGGGAAAAGCAGCAGGGCAGGGAGCCCCAAGCCCCGCAGTGGGAGGCTGCATCCTCTCCCACTCCCCACAGTCTCTGTTCAGCTCTGCTCTGCTCCACCTGTGCCATCTGGTGGGAGAAGGGGAGGAGCAGGCCGGGCTTGGCACTCTGCTCTGGCCACAGCAGCTGCTCCATCCCATATGCAGAATCCAGGGCTGGGGTGCTAGTGGCAGGCTATGGCTGGTGCCCACAGAGCAGGAAGTAGGCAGGATGGTCCCATAGCCCTGGCAGCTGGGGGCTCCTTCCAACAGGGCTGGGGGGGGGACTGGGCTAGGAGTGAGAGGCTGCAACTGGATCTGCATCCTGGTGAGTGAGTGAAGGGGCAGAGGGAGCTCTGATTCTCCATGCTTAAAAAACCAAAAATCAAACACCAAAATTTAAAGGTATTTAGAACTGATTTTATTATAACGATTGATTGAGGCACTGGTAGGTGTCCAAACTGCTTTAAAATTGTAAATGTTTCAATAGAACATTGTGTTCAACTGATACCTATATAGATATTGATATCTATATTTAGGTGGCATTTCATTTTAATTGAGGGGGGAAAAAAAGCAGAATTGGGGTTTTTCAATCAAAGAATTTTGGGCTTTTTAAATGAAGAAAACCAGGATCCCGGGTTATAATGCATCAGCTAACACTAAAACACATTTATAAGTGTGAAGAATGCCGTACTGCCAGTGCTTGTGTTATGCCTGTTTTGTGAACAGTCTCCTAAACTGTACTTCTCGTGACACAAAAAAATGCCATACAATCTGCCTTTTCACCGTCTAATTTTCAAAGAAAGTTACATCATTAAAAAGGGTTTCTTCCTTTCCTCTGAGAGAGATTTCACCATGGCTACCAATAAACTTCCAAAATTTGTCATGTTACCAGGTGGCAAAGGAGGGGGAGGGCGGGAAGTGTGTGAAACAAGATAGCGAGTGATGATTTGTGTTCTTCACTATACACTTAATTTCTTTGAAAAGTGACTTGCTACCTGGTCCGCACAATACATCAGCAACCCTAAAGATATTTGGTTCTCCCCAGATACTACCCCTTGACATACGCATAGTGCTATTCCAATCACATTTCCAAACCACTGGCCCATTAGACATCCATCTTTCACTTATACTGGCATTACAAATCTTTCTGCCAAAAAATGTTTCTTTTGGTTTCTAAACCTATGCATCTGACTGCAGAAGCTACTGCTCTGCTACGACCCAAAATACTGAACTACAAAGTTCAGTATTGGATGACTTTCAGTACCTTGAGTTGTCTGTCCAGAAATAGCAAATCTCTACAAGTCACATGGCCTTTTCTCAGAAAAGAAGAATTCTTAAGGAAAGCGCATTAAAAATGCAACTCAGAAGTGCTTTTACGTCAAGTCTGAAAAAGAAAAATGGATCTCAGCAAGCAAACTATCTAAAGAATCAATGTCACATTAACAGAAGGCAGCTTGTCACTGCACAATATCTGCATACTGTTGCATTTGTTAAGACTAGGACTACTTAGGATGTTTGATCTTCATCTTAAAAGAAAGAAAACCTTGGATTAAGGCTAATGGCAGTGGTTCAATACCGGTTTTGTTTTAAAATAAAGCAGGAATACCTACAAGAGATTTCTTCTCCAGTCAGTCTAACTGTAATATGCAGGGAGTACAAGCTGCAGGCAGAAATCAGAAACTCCGTATTTAGATAGTAGTTGGCTAATTCAAATCACTTCCTTCTAAGAGGCATTTATATTTTTTACATCCAAATTGCTTCCATGAAATAAAGACCAACTTGAACAGATTAATATTCTTCATAAAGAAAATATGACTATCATTATTGGCTTAATTTGTACTGAATAAAAGCCATATTTGGTATTCATTAGACCCAAATTGAGAAATTAAATATTAAAATGTACTAAAATCCGTCTTCCCAGGATTACTTCATTGGTTTAATTGTTTAAAAAACAACATTTGAAGTCTGCATATACTGTGATTATAACTTTAAAAAAAGGATGGGATCCTTTTCATAAGTTTTACATTGAAGACCTAGCAGTGCTGAGGTATTGTTGCCAGGATGGTACAGAAAACATGCAAGCGGTAAGAACTGTTGTGGGCAATCACTTTTATTGAGCCAATTGCACAGTTGCAACAGATAAAAGCAAGCTTTCAAGCATCACAATATTTTCAGGTCCTTCAGGCCTGAACAGAATATTCTGGCTTTATCCTGTTTTGTTATCCTCCATTCTTAAATGCTAAAGTCTCCGAGAATTCTTGTGGGCAATACCTTCTATTTATTTTATGTATTATGTATTCATTTTGTTCTGTTTAACTCTTTTTATTTGACTAGCTGCACGGTTTCAATAGACACAGCAAAAGTATCACAGCACCCGTCCGGTTGGAACAGACATTTTCTCCACTGCTGCTGAGCTTATAGCATCCTTTTTCGTAGATCTCACAATCTAACCTGGTACAAGCTAGGGTGGCATGTGGGTACAGTTAGGAGACTTGGGCAACTTCCCCAGGGTTTTTACCAACAGTTCTCAAGCTTTTTTAGATGCAAGGCACCACTCAGACTTGAGGCAGCCCTCTGAAAATGCCAGCTCTCATTTTTCACTAATTTTTGACTACGGAAAAATAATGGAGCAATTCTTCTGTTACAAAGAACTCAGAAAGACAATAGGTCAAAACATTTTTAACACCATGGATTTCTATTTGAAACCTCTGGGTTTATCTTGTGAATCACGTTCACATACCCAACAGCGCATCACCCTTGAAGGGATCTTAAGGCACCCCACGCACTCTGGTTGAGAAACACTGATCTACAATACTCTTCCCCTTAAGCAAATGCGTTATGAGCACCCCAATATCATGTGAGAGAACTTAACTACTAAAAAAGCTCTCATTTGGCTGGAGCAAACAGGGATTGTAACCACCTTACCAAACAAAGCCCATCTTTCTTGGTCAGCTCTTTTCCCCTACCTAAATACTAATACTGAGTTAAGCAGTCAGTGTGGTAGATGTGGTATCTTTTATCAGACCAACTAGACAGGTGCAAAAAAATTCTTTGTTTGCAAGCTTTTGGGCGCGCACACCCTTCCTCAGGCACAGGAGAATGAAAAGATTTTAAAGTTTCTCCCAGGCAGAAATGAAAATTCATATTGTACAGGAGAGCTGGGGTGAGATGCAAGCTCTCCTTGCTGGAAAAGTTCGTTTTGTGCAAACTAGGTTCGGATAAATGTTGGAGCAGTCTAGTTACCTCAAAGGTGTCTGATAGAAGCAAAACCCAACACCCTGCTTGCTTTCTTGGTAAGACATCTCATATTACTGAGTGCATTTTACGGTCAATTACATTTTGCCTATTTAAATTCTCCTTGAAGTTTCAGGCGGATATTGCATTATTCACTTCCTGTCCTTATGCTTTTGCACTTTATAGCTGTGCATTGCTAAACAGCAGCCACATTTCCACCAGAACATCACTGTACTACAGGTTCTGCTTCACGAAATTCTGAGGCTACAAATAGGAATCAAAAGAAACAATTTCTACATTACTTTGGGAACATTTTGAATTAAAGGCACTACATGAACACAGGCTCACTATGCTCTACAGTAAGAAAGGTGCAGAATAAGACTGCTAACAAACTTTTTCAGAAACTCCAAATATTTTTTTTACTAAGAGCAAAGTAGATATAAAAATGATAATATAAAGAAGCAGTGCACACTATTGATGGAACAAGCAGCAACACTTATAGATCAGGTTGCTCAACAGCTTCCATGAAAAGTTTTTCCACCCCCATTTACTCATAACTTCATTATACAAAGTCTTGAGGCTGAAATTTGTGTTCTAGGCTGAACACTTTTCAAACCATTTTTTCAAAGATCCAATTTTGAGAATAAGATTTGAGAAAACATTATTTCCTTTTGCTAACATTAAAACAATTCTTTTAGCTTCTCAAAGAAGTGAATGCAGCGTTTTCATGTGGATGTGAAATTTGGTCAAGAACTGACCTGGGGTCAGGGTTGTGCCATTTGGCAACTAAAGTCTCTGCCTGTTTCATAAGTACAGAACGTGATTGAGCACATCCCGGTCCAGGGATTAAGGAGCTGAACAGGCTCTCCCGTCCAGTTGCTCCTCCCATCTGTGGGGGGCTTTCTCCCTTTCCACACGGGCTAGGTAAGAGGAAAAGATAGAAATTGGTCAACAGTAATATACAGAGGAGATGGAAAGGAAGAAACATGGCAAAAAGGTGAGGAACAGATGACTCAAACAAGGAAGAAAAGTGGAGGGGAAGAAGGGATATAGGAAGAGGAAGCACCATGGAAATGTCCATGAAGAAATTAATAACTTTGGATGGTATGCAGCAGCCAAGTGGGTCAGGTACACTGAGTAGTAGCCATTCAGTAAACATTTTCATCCTGTGCACTGAATGAGGCAGGGGTCCTTTGGGAAAATACAATATGTAGGGTATAATTAAAGATGGCAAATAATCATTATCACATAAAGGGACCTAATTTAGGTAGCAAAGGCAATATCGATTCAGGTCTTTCTTTAGTTCTGAGTGGCTGACTTTACAACCTTGGTTTCCGTAACACATCTGATGCAATAATATATATACACACCACACTTCCTCAAAAATAGAAGGTGACCTTGATTATAAGATGAAACCCACCTCCCCCATTAGATTCTACATATGGAAAGTGTATTGATTTGTTACAATTTTCCAAGTATCCAATTATTGGAGGTTTGCCTTGAATGTCCCCCACCCAGTGCTGCAGCAAAGAAAATAAATCCAGGGGGTCAAGTAGCCCCTTTGCTCTCTGCTTCCCATTTTTCCCCTAGCAGCCCCTAATTTGAAAACAATTAACTTGCAATTAAACATGGAGAAGGCAATTTGCATATAGTACCCATACACTTAGTTAATCCAGAATTGACGCACATTACCTTTTTTTTGAAACTGCTTCAAGTTTTAGCACAGGTACTCCAGAAACACATTTTTGAGCAGCACTCTGGCACCTACTTATACATAGTGCAAACGATGCACAGTATTAATCTAAAGCCAAAAGCTCACGATTTACCAAATAGTTCACTGGGCTGGGCCCCAGCAGAGTCAACAGCATTTCAAGCCACAATGACCCCACAGCTGAGCAGTGCTCAATGTGTGTGTACTGCAGATACCCACCACAAAGGATCCATGTGCTAATTAGCTGCACTCATGCCTGGAACTGGGGGCGTTTATAGCTCGAACGAGTTTTAGTTTAAAGTGTCCCGCCACTATTTTTCAGCACAGGGATGCTGATGCATGTGGTGCTAGAGTCCACTGGAATGCAGCAATTATCATGCTCCAGCAGACTTGATTGATTGAGTCTACTCCGACTGTGCTGTAATTGCAGCGTATCAGACCAGCCTCCCTGCACGTGTATAGGAGCCCTGGGTGTCCTTGTCACAAGTCTTAGAATGCTCCAGAACGGTATATGCAGATAAGGCCTGACTACACCTCATGGAGGGCAAGGCCACAACTAGTCACGTGTTACAGGATGAGAGAAAGGGCAACAGAGGGTCTGTTTGGCGACCCGTTAGGTGATTTTTGCCAGGCATTTAAGGCTGGTGAAGAAACATGAATATTTGGACACGGGAAAGAATGGTGCAGTTCAGCTATGAGTGTGAAATGGAAGTAAAAATGTATAGAGTGTAGTGGCTCACCATGACTTGCATAAAAAGTTAGCAGTCAGGGGGACTGAGCTTGTTTTATTCATATGGGCTGCACTAACCTATCTATCTTTGTAGTAGGTTCTTATCAACATGTTTGCCCAATGTGGGGCATATGTTTTATAGTTATGCTTACTGTTGGCTGCATTTAATCAACTTCACAGTTGGTTTCCACTGCTAAGCACATGTTGCTTTTGACAGCAATTTAATGACAGACAAAGTATTTAGTGAGAATTCCCTGTATGCAATTTTAAGATGAGGGGCTTCTGCCCCTATGCCAAATGTGGGGAGGGGGGAAAAACACTTTGTATTCATGTAAATACAGTGGGGTTTTTCAGAACCTATACTTAATTCTTTCACATTAAAACACTTGGCTCTGTGTAGCAGTTCATTTACATTATCATAAGCTGGAACCAACAAGAGGAGGAACCACCTAGGGAGGAAAAATGTCCAGCATACCTACTGCCTAGGAAATGACCTGCTTGAAGGCACGGAAGCAGAAAGGGATCTTGGAGTCCTAGTGGACTCCAAGATGAACATGAGTTGGCAGTGTGACGAAGTCATCAGGAAAGCTAATGGCACTTTATCGTGCATCAGCAGATGCATGATGAACAGATCCAAGGAGGTGATACTTCCCCTCTATCGGGCGCTAGTCAGACCGCAGTTGGAATACTGCGTGCAGTTTTGGACACCACACTTCAAGAGGGATGCAGATAACCTGGAGAGGGTCCAGAGAAGGGCCACTCATATGGTTAAGGGCTTGCAGACCAAGCCCTATGAGGAGAGACTAGGGCACCTGGACCTCTTCAGCCTCCGCAAGAGAAGGTTGAGAGGCGACCTTGTGGCTGCCTATAAATTCATCATGGGGGCACAGAAGGGAATTGGTGAGGTTTTACTCACCAAGGCGCCCCCGGGGGTTACAAGAAATAATGGCCACAAGCTAGCAGAGAGGTTAGATAGGCATCTAGCTGGGGTCATCTAAACCCAGCCCTCTTTCCTGCCTATGCAGGGGGTCGGACTCGATGAGCTATTGAGGTCCCTTCCGACCCTAGCATCTATGAATCTATAAGAGCCTAAAGCAGTGGTTCTCAACCTTCTTTGAATCGGGACCCATTTGTAAGCATCAATGGCCAGTCCTGACCCAGTAAATAATTTAAGTCGAAATTAAATTACCAGTGCCCCAACTCCTAACCCGCTGCCCCACCCCCTCTCAGCCCCACAGTTTATTGGGGGGGAGAGAGGGGACTCTGCCAGCCTGCAAGGGAAAACTTACCATTTCCCACATTTTTCTCCTTTAAAGAAGAATCCATTTTTAAGGTTTGTTGATCCATTTCTAAAGTTTGTTCACGACCCTTTCTATAATCTCGCGACCCACTTTTGGGTCACAACCCACGGTTTGAGAAACACTGGTCCTAAAGCAGGTCACAGACTTGTATCCCAAGACAGAGCAAACAAGAGAAAGAGGAACAGAGCACTTTCATTGGCTTGTCCACAAGGACGCATTCAATTCTAATGCAATCTAACACTGTACTGAATGTAGTCATCAAACCCTCATTCTTATTCACCCAACTCTAAGAGTAACTCACCACAAAACATTTTAGGACAGCAAAACTTAACTTTGGAAAATGCTTAGGAAGTTACTCTCAAATAAAAAAATTTTCACTTCTTCTTAAAGGCGGAAGGAAAGTATCAGTATATACATCATTTCTTCTAATGACCAAATACTGTGTTAAGGTTATAAAAGTCCATACTGAGAGAATATTGAAGATGCATGGTGAAGCACTCAAAAGTCAGGAAATGACACAATTAAGACTGCATGCATCTCCTTACGTATACACGGATACTATAGCACAGTTTTCAATTAAATGTTCACATATTGGTTCCGAAGCAATTTATCATATAAATTTTTTCCACATTCCTAAGCACATGTGACATCCTATGATAATTAACCTGAGCTTTTTAAATTCATTCCATTTCCTGGATGGTAGTTTTATATAGTCTTTTAATAAGTTAGGGATACATTTTTCAAGTACTTCTTGCTGAGCATAACCCTTTTATCACAAATAGCTCCATACTGAATATCTGCAAAGGATTTGTGAAGTCAGCACCAATGTTGTATTATTTCAAAACCAGCAGCACAGCCTACATTGCAGCTGCAAAGCGACTCTCAGGGTTTGAAGCACTTACAGTAACTTAAGTTACAGACACACACACACACAATATACATATACCACCTTCACTTTGTTATCCACAGCATGCCACTTACCTAGCTTAGGAACCTACATTTCCCTCCAGTGTTCATTAGCAGCTCAGAAGCTATGGAGACACAGGGCCAGCTGGGAAAACTTGGGGAAATCCAAAACTTCGAAATTAAGAACAGATTTGCATGAAATACTCCACTGAGTACATAAAGTTTTCCATATGTATCAGTGGGAGCCTTGTACCACCATAAACTCTGTAACAGTATTAATTTTTTTCAATACTGGGGGGAGAGGGGAGGAACTTTAATTATAGAGTGCATAAAGTTTTCCATGAGAAACCACTAGCAATTTCAGCAAGTATCCGAGCTTCTTAACCACAGTCCCCCACCTTATCCCCCTGCTCCTGGGCAGCTCTTAAGCAGAACGCAGAACCTCTCCTCCAAGCTCTTCAAAGTCTCTGCACCGTTAGTCAAAATGCAGCACGCACATACAGCAGCAAGTTAGCCTGACACGCTGCAGCGCTCCTTAGCCGTACATTATGCACTAGGCAAGAAAACCACAGTTTAAAATACAATATTGTGTCCATCTTATTTTCAGGACGGATCTCTGAAGTCTAAACCAAACTTATACATGAATGTTCGAGATGCTCTTCCACGATAATAGTTTCCCTGGTAACTGCTTGGGCTTTAAAACTGACAGCAATGGCTGCTTTTTTGTTTTGTTATTAATTACGCGAATTGAAAAGGCTTTCCTTCTCCCCTCCACCTTCCCATTTTTCTAGAAGTAGACCTATTTTTGTTTAAGGTTTCAGAAGCAGTTACCTATGAGATTAAAGTTAATTTGTGGAAAATTTAAACTAGATAAGCTTTCAGAAAAGTAAGAGGAAAAAAAAAAAAAATCAGGGATTTGCAATGGTAACAAACAATCTTAAATTTCAAGGCCACTGATGCAATATTACATTGACTTTGTTCACCTTTTCCAAGAACTTAGTTAACTCAGGGCTTTTGCTTTGAGAAGTGTGCCTACACTTGCAGGAATAAACAAGAACTATCCCTTCATTCTCAACTTCCTCTCCTGAATTGTTAAATATGGTGCAACTTGCTGATGATCTGATCTTTCATGTGGACAATCCAGCGTCATGAAAATCCTTTTTAATCGTTTTTATTACCATCTTTTAGTTCTCTTTTCTTGTAGTAATTATACATGCCCAGTCTCCAATTACTATGCTAGAAACATGTGCAGCCTGGAGA